AAGTCCGTAGGGGTGTTTGAACACCTAGTGCCCTAAAGCCGTCTGGTTTGGGAGTCATTGACCTAACGCTCGATCTCATGAATCGCTAGAAAGCTTAATAGATCAATACATTGCACTATGCTTCCATTTTTTATCCTAAAATAAAAAAAAATAAAAAATTCGAGTGAAAAGAATAAGTGCACCTAGATGAATGAAGCTTTAATAAAAGGTCCACTTTTTGTCTTGATGATCGGTAATAGATTTGTGTGCTAGTTTGAGGATAAGGATGTGATTAATTCTTTAGTTGGCTAAGATAGCAACACATTGATGCCGGTTCACTAAAAAGAATTCTAGATTTGTTTTGATTTGCATGATCATTTTCTTGATGTGTGGAGGACCATACTTGTTTGCTTGATGTTGAGATTTTGGAAGATTGCTTGAAAAGGGTTGAAAAATTGCATACTAGAGGTAATTTTCTCCCAATGCTTGTTTGCAATATTGGTACCTCTTTTGAAAAAAAAAAATGAGCTTAATGTTTGTGGGTACCATTTCTGGAAACCCTTACGAGACTTCACTCGTCCATTAGGGGTAACCTAGGGGTTTAAAAGGCTTGTTGCATGTGCTAAGTGCAATCGTGTTCCCTACGAAAGTGGCGTTATCCATTTATTGTTTTCTAGTTTATAGTTGTAAAGTTGTTCATTTCATTCCTTTACTTTCTAGTTCATTGTTAGGGACTAGCAATATTTAAGTTTGCGGGTGTGATGAGCACTGAAAAGTGCGTATTTAAACCCCTTAAGCTTAGGCATTCTAGTACCTTTATCTATCTTACTTTACCGTTTTAGATTGATTTCGTATTACTTCCATTTTCAGGCACTTATCTTGAAAATAAGCTAACTCAGCCAAATAAGAGCTTAATTGAAGCAATTCTGAGATTAAACAAAGAAATGAGCAAAATAGAGAAAGAAGGAAGCAAAATGAATCAAAACAGCAAGTTCGATCGATCCAAGTCCAAGGTTCGATCGATCGAACATTGATCGATCTCAGCACTTCAAGATAGATCCAAGCCTTGACCCAAAGCACTTAAGTCCAAAAGTTCGATCGATCCAACATCATTCTTCGATCGATCGAACACCTTTGTCCTTATCCAAATGATTGATCTTATCCATAGTTGTCCACCCACTAACCACTTTTGTCCTTTTCCCATAAATATCTCCCATAAATATCTCAGATTTGTCTTTTTCCAAAAAGCTCAGCTAGTTAGATCGATCCAGCCTAAGTTCGATCGATATCACTTACTTTCGATCGATCAAACTTTCTCCAATGCGAAAAAGTTAAAATTCCATCACATTGAAAGTTGTCCTTTATCCAATCATTAGGGAATATTATGTGCACGACCCCAGCTCATTTTGGGTGTCATTTTAACCTACCTATGTAAGGATAAGGATGGCTTTTTCAAGGAGAGCCAACATTATTTTTCATATCATCTCTTAGAGAGGAAGTTTAGAGGAGGAGGAGGCTAGAAACACCATTGGAGATCTTCATCAACAAGGAGCAAACCTCTTCCATGGAGTTAGCCCTTAAGGGTTGGAGCATCATCACCATGAGTGGCTAAACATCCTCTTGGGGCTAGAGTTAGCCCCAAGCATACTTTCTATATCTTAATCTTGTGTATTATTGAGGGATTAGTGTTATAATTAATGTTTTGACATTTTGATATATATAGATCTTGTTTAATCAATGATTTGTGTGGTTTAATGCTTCCAATTGATTATTTCATTCTATTCATATGTCTATGTATGCTAGAATTGATGTTCATGTTCTTTTCTTTAGATTTTGTGTTGTTGATGCATGTCTATGTGTATTGATGCAATGAATTTAGAGATTGTCAAAACATAGTGCTTAAAGAAATGCTTTTATGATTCTCTTGATGTTTCATGCTTATCTCTTGATGGATTGTGCCTCTCCCCTCGTTTATTTTCATGCTAGTAGTGTAGATGTAGTGTAGTTGTAGTATAGTGTTAAATGGGAGGACAATCTATGCTTGTTGTTTGATGATCTAAGCTTTTGAATGCAATTAGCATATGTCTCTAATCTTGTGTTGTATTTGGATTGTGAGCCTAATGAAAGGATTAATGACTTGTTTTGATTTATTGTGCCTTTCACATGTTGTTTAGACAATATATGCTTCATTGTTTTGATATATTATGCCTTTCACATGATGTTTAGACAATACATGCTTAACTAGTCATCCTTGCTTGTTGAATCAACCAAATACACACACACCAATATTGCAACACCCTAATTGCCCTCATTAATCACTTGTCAATAATATAGAAATGCATTGCTTGGTGGTGATCTCTAAACCCCAAGACTCTTTTCTCTCTCTTATTTACTCTTAATTGCACTCTTTTGGTATTACTTAGTCTAATTTAGTTGTTCTTTAATCAACCAACCAACCAATTGTTTGATCACTCGACCTACTAGCCCTAATTGCGATTCCACAATCAACTCCGACATTGCTCAATCCCCATAATCCCTTAGGATGATCCCTACTCACCCTTACTACGTTAGTAGTAGTGTTGTTAGTGGTTTTATAAATTTAAACTTGACCCAAAAGGTTTTTCTTGAACCGCACATTCACAACATCAAATTTTTGGCGTGTAAGAAACGGCTACAACATAGACCGTCACTAACCCGGAGGCCCGGATCGCTACACGGGTCCTTACTCGAACCCGAGGTTTCCTAGGTCCATTACGACATTTCTAAGGTCTAAACACCGTTACTACTCTTGAATCACACCAACCATACACCTCATCAACCAATTCGTCATTGAACCAAACAAACACCAGAAGAAAGAAGGAAAGATGGCCAAGCTGCTTCATTTCGGTCGACCGAAGTGGAGCTTCGGTCATCTGAAATGAAGATCCCTAGAGTAGATGAGAGGAGAAGGAAGCCTGAACCCTCAACTTCATTTCGGTCGACCGAAGTGGAGCTTCGGTCATCCAAAATGAAGACCCCGAGCGCAGGAGATGCTTCGGTCGACCGAACCCCATTTCGGTCGACTGAAATGAAGATCCCAAGAGCACCTTTTTCTTTTTTCGGTCGACCGATGTACCATTTCGGTCGACCGAAATGGCTTTCCCGAGCTATGATTCATGCAATTGGTCTGCTGCTTTTTGGAGAATGAATTGAAATGGTTAAGACATGAGAATGATCCGAACTTGCACTAAACCATTAATTAAGAAGCATTCAACAATTAACGACTAATGTACTACCAACTGATCATCCTACAACATCATTGATTAAGTTTTATAGAATTTTGTTTATACAATGACTTCAACTAATTCATTTACATTAGCAACATAAGTTCCTTTCTAACTTACAAGACCATGGATATAATTTTGATTACATTTCCAAAACTATACATAAACAAAAGAATGGCCTAGGTGCAAAAGTAACAAAAGTAATCCTTTTAACATCTCTTAAACTTGAGGTGGATTGTCGTCCACCGGTTCTTTTCCGAGACCTGAAAAAAAATATATATATATAGTAGGGTGAGCAAATATGCTCTGTAGGTGATGCCTAAGACACACCTCTTGAAGCCCCGTGAATCCAAACAAAGCATAGGCCAATAGGGAACGGGGTCATACAATGTCGGGATAATATAACATAACAATTCAATCTCAAGTAGACACAATGCAATGCAATGAGATGCAATGCATGCTAGTGTCGCGCCCCATTTTCATATTCCAAAACCATCAATTTCAACTATTAATACAGCCCGCCCTTTGGTAACCCCGCCGCAACACAAGAGGAGGATTGGCTAGTGTCCCTGGCCCTTGGTAACCCCGCGGCGTCATTATGGGGCCCAGCTAGCTCAACCACGCTAGGGCGACTCCCCAGTCCCCTCTAGGCTATATTAACCTCCGGCCCGTTGGTAACCTCGCAGCGACCAGGTTTACATAAAACCATTTTATCAAAACATTTCCCCAAAATTCCCCGTTTTCATTTCAAAACCTTTTTCCATCATGCAACCCCATGATTCACATGTATTGCTCATGCCTTTGATGCTTAATCAATGAAAGATTATTACAAAATACAATAGAGCATGTTCTGATACATCAATCATAGCATGCAAATAATATGATAGACATAAATTTCATAATATAACATGCATTTCACACAACATAATCAAGACAAGTCTCCATATACCCATACATATACAATCAAGGCTTTTTAAAAAAACAATTAACACAATTAAACATGCTTTAACACATTTCAAGTATAATAACTCACAAAGGAGCAAAAATATACGGATTAGGAAGCCCCTACCTCAAGATTGCACAAAACCCTTGAAATGGGTCTTGAATTTTGAAATCCAAAGGGTGCACAAAAACTGAAATTGATGGTATGGATGCGTAGAGCTAGTCGTGCTCTCCGTTTTACCTCAAACGGCACCTTAATCCGATAGGAAATGAAGAAGCAATCAAGATTCAAAGTCTTGAATGAGAAAAGAAAAAGAAAAACCAAGAGGAAAGAGTAAGAGAGATAAATACGGGAGAAAGAGAGGAAAATGGGAAGCAAAATGGTCTCTAGAACATAAATGGGATAGTGGTGGGTCCCAACACTATCCTTTGACTTTCCTTTTTCTTTTGCCTTAAAATTTACACCACACAAATACACTACACCACCAACAAATACCACTTAATCCACATAAATTAAAATGCACCAAATGCACATGAGCTCAACTAAATTCCTGCGCATAAAACGTTAAAGGACGAAAATACCCTTGCGTCAACAAAATTCTAAAAAAATTAAAAAAATGCTGAAATTTGGAAACATTACAGTCTCCCCAACTTAAAAAGATTTCGTCCCAGAAATCAAGCCATTCATGGGGAAGAAAACAACTCTGGGTACCTGGAGCAAGCCAGCTGCTCAAGCTCCCAAGTAGCCTCCTCGACTCCGTGGTGTCGCCAAAGAACTTTCACCAACTGCACCGTCTTGCCCCTTAACACATTCTGTCATGTGTCAAGGATCTGCACTGGTCCCTCTTCATAGGAAACATCTTCATCAACATCCACGTCAACCCAATCCAAAATGTGAGGTGGATCCGGTTCATACTTCTGTAACATCGACACATGAAAAACATTATGAACCTTGTCCAGCTGTGGTGGCAAAGCAAGTCTATAGGCCACTTTTCCTACATGGTCCAGAATCTCAAACGGTCCAATAAATCGTGGCGACAACTTGCCACTTTTCCCGAACCTCATCAATCCTTTTCGTGGAGAAATTCTCAGAAAAATATGGTTTCCCACTTCAAAAGCTAGCGGTCGTCTTCGTTTATCGGAATAGCTCTTCTGTCGACTCTAAGCTGTGAGTAACCTCTATTTGATCAACTTAATTTTCTCAGTAGTCTCGAGTACAATGTCGGGTCCTAAGGCGGCTGTCTCGCCTACCTCAGTCCAACAAACAGGAAACCTACAAGGTTTACCATATAACTCTTCAAATTGAGCCATTTCAATGCTCGCCTAATAACTGTTGTTGTAAGCAAACTCAATAAGTGGAAGGTGATCCTCCCAACTGCCTCCCAAATCAAGCACACATGCCCGAAGCATATCTTCCAGAATCTGGATAGTATGCTTCGACTGGCCGTCCGTCTGTAGATGGAATGTCGTACTCAGGTGCAATGCTGAGCCAAACGCTGCTTGAAGTCCTTCCCAAAACTTGGAAGTGAACTTTGCATCCCTATCCGAAACAATAGTTACTGGAACTCCATGTAACCTTACAATCTCCTTCACATAAAGAACACCAAGCGCTTCTGCGTAATCCGTTGCCTTAATAGGTAAAAAGTGAGCCGTCTTGGTTAATCTGTCAATGATGACCCATAGAGCCTCGTTACCTCTCCGTGACCTTGGAAGTCCTGTCACAAAATCCATAGCAATATGTTCCCATTTCCACTGCGCTACAGGTAATGGTTGCAACAACCCTGCCGATTTTTGATGCTCGGCCTTCACCTATTGACAGGTAAGGCACTTAGCCACAAACTGTACAACATCTTTCTTCATCCCGTTCCACCAATACTGGCGTCTCAAATTGTTCATCCCGTTCCACTAATACTGGCGTCTCAAATTATGATACATCTTGGTACTACCTGGGTGAACTGCAAAGCGGGAAGTATGAAACTCCCTTAAGACGTCCTCACGAAAACTTGTGGAAACCACCAACAAACCTTGAACCGTAGACCTCCATCTTCATGCAAGGTCCAATCTTTCACTATCTCACCACTGGAGATCAAAGCGTGAACGGCATCCAAATTCGGATCCTGTCTCTGCGACTCAATCACTCATACAACAAGAGTAGGCTGAGCCACAAGACTAAATAAGAATGCCGACTCACTACAAACCTCGTCATCGAAACACTGCAATCCCATCTCTGCCAGATCATTAAGCATCTTCCACTTTCGAATGGCTAATCCGGCCAAAGTTCCACGAGATTTTCGGCTTAAGGAGTCTGCTACCACATTCGCCTTGCCCGGATGATATTGCAAGTCAAAGTTGTAGTCCTCCAAGTACTCAACCCATCGTCTCTGTCTATTGTTCAAGTCTTTTTGGGAGAAAAGGTAATTGAGACTTTTATGATCCGAGAACACCTCGAATTTCTCATCATACAAGTAGTGTCTCCAACACTTCAAAGCAAACACAACTACAGCCAACTCCAAATCATGAGTAGGGTAGTTGTACTCATGAGTCTTTAACTGCCGAGACCCACAAGCCACTACTCTACCACCCTGCATCAACACACACCCTAAACCATCATGTGAAGCATCACAATACATCACATAACCTAAGCCACGCTCAAGTAACACCAACACTAGAGCCGTAGTCAACCTTGTCTTCAATTCTTGAAAAGATGACTCACAAGCTTTATTCCACACAAACTTGATCCCTTTCTGAGTCAAACGGGTCATAGACGTTGCCAAATGGGAGAAATCTTTCGCAAATCTCCGGTAATAACCCGCTAGATCAAGAAAAATGCGGATCTCAAAAACATTCTTGGGTTGCTCCCAATTCAAAACAGCTTCAATCTTTGATGGATCAACCGACACTCTGCCTTCTGAAACAACATGTCCCAAAAACTTTACCTCTTGTAGCCAAAACTCACACTTCTCATATTGGGCATACAATCGGTGCTCCCGCAAAATTTATAGAACAGTACTCAAATGGATCTCGTGCTCTTCCCGAGATCATAAGTACACAAGAATGTCATCCACGAAAACTACCACGAACTAGTCCAAGTAATCATGAAAGACACGGTTCATTAAGTCCATGAATGCCGCTGGCGCATTAGTCAAGCCAAAAGGCATAACAAGGAACTCATAGTGTCCATACCGTGTAAGGAATGCTGTCTTCGGGATATCCTCATCCCTAACCCGCAATTGATAATAGCCAGAACTCAAGTCAATCTTTAAGAAACAACTGGCTCCCCTCAACTGATCAAATAAATCATCTATCCTTGGCAAAGGATACTTGTTCTTGATGGTGGAATGATTCAACTTCTGATAATCAATGCACAATCTCAAAGAACCATCTTTCTTCTTAGCAAATAAGACCGGTGCGCCCCACAGTGACACACTTGGTCTGATGAAACCTTTCATCCTCAAATCATCAAGCTGTCTTTTCAACTCTTCCAATTCAACTGGTGCCATACAATACGGTGCCATAGAAATCGGCGCGGTATCGGGCATCAAATCAATAGTGAACTCTACTTCCCGGTGTGGTGGCAACTCCGTCAGATCCTCTGGAAACACGTCTAGAAAATCACGAATAACCACCGGGTAATCTGTTTCCACAACACCATCTTCTTCGGCTTGAAGGCTAGCCAAGAAGTAATCACTACGTCGTTTTCCATGAATTCTATACAACGATGAAGGCTAGGAATCACTCCGATCTCCCATGAAAAAGAAATAATCTCCCTCAGGAGTACAAACTGTGACTCTTCCACTGAGACAATCAATCGTGGCATGAAAGAATGTTAACCAATCCATTCCAAGAATGACATCAAAGCTAGTCATCTCTAGGAGGATAAGGTCAAACACAAACGTCCGTCCGACTATCACAATGGAACAATCCCTCATAACTCGGTTCAAAGACACTGAAACCCCAATTGGCGTATCAACCGATAATGCCCGATCCATGAAACTAACCTCTAACCCCGATGCAAGTGCAAATGAAGATGAAATAAAAGAATAAGATGCATAAAAGTCAAAAAGAATACGAGCCCAAGAACCAAACACAGGAAAGATACCTCGGAGAACTGAAGGTCCAGAAGAGGCATCAGTCGGTGCAAGTGCAAAGACACGCCCCTGTGGTGCCTGTGCCTGAGAACTGCAACCCTGAACACCAGACTGCTGCACCGAACCAGTAGGAGCATCCCTCCTAACAGGTCGTGAGCCCTGAGAAGACATAGTAGGCTGAGGTGGTGGTGGTGGTCTAAAACCTAATTGAACTGTGGCCTATTGAGATGGCCTCTGTCGTGACCCTCTGCCACTACCGGTGCTTGCTCCCTGACTAGGACAGTCCCGAATCAAATGACCCTGTTGGCCACACCCATAACAAGCCCTTAGTGCTGAAGAAACTGCTGACGATCTTATGGGACAACTAGACTTGTAGTGTCCAGGCTACTGACATTGATAACAAACAACTCCACTCTTGTCAGATCCAGCTGGCATAGGAGTGGTAGGAGCAGATTATGCAGACTGTTGCCCCTAAAACTGAAATGAACTTCCTTTGTTCCTCTTCCAAGAAGATCCCTCCGAAAATGGCCCTACACCTCTCTTTTGCTTCAATTGCTCTCTTCTTGCATCTTTCTCTTTATTATCGACCTCCAGCATCAATGCCCTTTCCACTGCTTCAGAGTAAACCTTAATGAACTGTGCCGTGATCAACGGCCTCATCCGATCATTAAGACCAAAAACAAACTTCCAAGTCTTGTTAGCTTCATCTTTCACCATTTCTGGAGCAAAACGAGAAAGTTAAGTAAACTTGTTCTCATATTCCGCCACTGACATGCTCCCTTGAATAAGGTTATGAAACTGGTCTTGTAACTCCCATCCTTTGGAAAGCAGAAAATACTTCTCGTAAAACAGTTCCTTGAACTTATCCCAACTCATCTCCTCCACCTTGTACCGGCTCGTAACCAACTTCCACCAAACCTTAACATCCTTAGCAAACTTGTAAGTAGCTAGGATGATCTTCAAATGATCCTCCGTCACATTCATTGAGAGCAACTGAGTCTCAACTTAATCCAGGTAGTCGTCTGCTACTATCGGATTCACACCGCCTTCAAACATAACTGGCATCAACTGAGAAAAACCTTTAATGATCTTGAGACGCTTTTGAGCTGGAGTCTCTTCAACTTGAAGTGTAGGTTGTGGTGCCGACTACGACTGAGCAGTAATGGCGGCCCTCACGGCACTTTGCAACAAACGATTCAACTCCAATGCCACAGAACCTTCACCCACTTCTACGGGTGCTTCAACATTTTCCCTTCTTGTGGGAACAACTCTTGGGGGAATTAAGTCCCTAAGAAGTGTGTTCTCATCATTTAGCTCTTCCGGATTGGAGCTAGAGCTCTCACCAACATCACCCCTTGTTGGCCTAGGGCCAACTTCCTTGGGTTCCTCACGTCGTGGCATCGTGCTATAAAACGAGAAAACGGTTCAATGACATGACACTAAGGTCCACTGAAAATGACTCAACATGAAATAGCGTCATACTAACACTTAGCATACGCAGCTGTGCAAGAAATGGTTTAACATCAACAAGTAAGCAAGTAAGCACGTAAGCACATAGACAGTTAAACATGTTTCTTCAAGTAAATAAACACATAGCAAGTAGTCACATAAACAATGCAATCAACACCCTATGCAGGCCTCTACCCATCATCCTAAAGGTTTTCGAACCATCGCTCTGATACCATTAATTGTAACGACCCTGACACGGAGGCCCGGATCGCTACACGGGTCCTTACTCGAACCCAAGGTTACCTAGGTCCATCACGACATTTCTAAGGTTTAAACACCGTTACTACTCTTGAATCACACCCACCGTACACCTCATCAACCAATCCGTCATTGAACTAAACAAACACCGGAAGAAAGAAGGAAGGATGGCCAAGCTGCTTCATTTCGGTCGACCGAAATGGAGCTTCGGTCGTCCGAAATGAAGATCCCAAGAGTAGATGAGAGGAGAAGGAAGCCTGAACCTTCAACTTCATTTTGGTCAACCGAAGTGGAGTTTCGGTCGTCCGAAATGAAGATCCCGAGAGTAGATGAGAGGAGAAGGAAGCCTGAACCCTCAACTTCATTTCGGTTGACCGAAGTGGAGCTTCGGTCATCCGAAATGAAGACCCCGAGCGCAGGAGATGAGTCGGTCGACCGAACCCCATTTTGGTCGACTAAAATGGAAATCCCGAGAGCACCCTTTTCTTTTTTTGGTCGCCTGATGTACCATTTCGGTCGATCGAAATGGCTTTCCCGAGCCATGATTCATGCAATTGGTCTGCTACTTTTTGGAAAATGAATTGAAATGGTTAAGATATGAGAATGATCCGAACGTGCACTAAACCATTAATTAAGAAGCATTCAACAATTAACAACTAATGTACTACCAACTGATCATCCTACAACATCATTGATTAAGTTTCATAGAATTATGTATATATAATGACTTCAACAAATTCATTTACATTAACAACATAAGTTCCTTTCTAACTTACAAGACCATGGATACAATTTTGATTACATTTCCAAAATTATACATAAACAAAATAATGGCCTAGGTGCAAAAGTAACAAAAGTAATCATTTTAACATCTCTTAAACTTAAGGTGGATTGTCGTCCACCGGTTCTTTTCTGAGACCTGAAAAAAATAATAATAATATAGTAGGGTGAGCAAATATGCTTAGTAGGTAACGCCTAAGACGCACCTCTTGAAGCCCCGTGAATCCAAACAAAGCATAGGCCAATAGGGAACGGGGTCATATAATGTCGAGATAGTATAACATAACAATTCAATCTCAAGTATACATAATGCAATGCAATGAGATGTAATGCATGTTAGTGTCACTCCCCATTTTCATATTCCAAAACCATCACTTTCAACTGTTAATACAGCCCACCCTTTAGTAACCCCGCCGCGACACGAGAGAAGGATTGGCTAGTGTCCATGACCCTTAGTAACCCCGCGGCGTCATTATGGGCCAGCTAGCTCAACCACGCTAAGGCGACTCCCTAGTCCCCTCTAGGCTATATTAACCTCCGGCCCGTTGGTAACCCTGCAGCGACCAAGTTTGCACAAAACCATTTCATCAAAACACTTCTCCGTAATTCCCCGTTTTCATTTCAAAACCTTTTTTCCATCATGCAACCCCATGATTCACATGTATTGCTCATACCTTTGAGGCTTAATCAATGAAAGATTATTACAAAATATAATAGAGCATGTTCTCATACATCAATCATAGCATGCAAATAATATGATAGACATAAATTTCATAATATAACATGTTTTTCACACAACATAATCAAAACAAGTCTCCATATACCCATACATATACAATCAAGGCTTTTTAAAACAATAATTAACACAATTAAACATGCTTTAACATATTTCAAGTAGAATAACTCACAAAAGAGCAAGAATATACGGATTAGGAAGCCCCTACCTCAAGATTGCACAAAACCCTTGAAATGGGTCTTGAATTTCGAAATCCAAAGGGTGCACAAAAACTAAAATTGATGGTATGGATGCGTAGAGTTCGTCGTGCTCTCCGTTTTGCCTCAAACAGCACCTTAATCCGATAAGAAATGAAGAAGCAATCAAGATTCAAAGTTTTGAATGAGAAAAGAAAAAGAAAAACCAAGAGGAATGAGTGAGAGAGATAGATACGGGAGAGAGAGGAAAATGGGAAGCAAAATGATCTCTAGACCATAAATGGGATAGTAGTGGGTCCCACCATTATCCTTTGACTTTCCTTTTTCTTTTACCTTAAAATTTACACCACACAAATACACTACACCACCAACAAATACCACTTAATCCACATAAATTAAAATGCACATGAGCTCAACTAAATTCCCGCACGTAAAACGTGAAAGGACGAAAATACCCTTATGTCAACAAAATTCTGGAAAAATTAAAAAAAATGCTAAAATTCGGAAACGTTACAGGTACATACCTTGCTCAATAGCAAAACGTTGCACAGTAGCCGCTGGCGGGCTACTGTGCGACTCCATTCTCTATTCCCTCCATCACAATATCCCTGGTGGATGTCCAGAACCCATCTGAGGGCCCAAAATACGGAGCTCTACGCCACTCTGACTCCGGCGGCACCTCCGACACTATTTCACCGGCCTTGCTTAGAGTTTTACGCTTCGTCATTTACTATCACTCGGAACCTAGAGGCCTTTGACAACAGAGCGGTTGCTTTTCACTCTTTGTTTTCCTTGTATTTTCTCTCCTTTCTTTCTTCCCAGAGCTTGGTTTATATAGCCATGGCGGTTTCCTTTAAACCGTTGGGGACGAAGATACTCAAAGGCCACACCCACTAACAGTCACGCCCTAGCTGAAATGTCCCTTCAATCAATGCCATAACTGACATAGGTTACACAAACCCATGTTTCCCAAAGTTATTACACCCACGTCTCTTTGCACGCAGCCTATTTTCAAAATTCAAAAATAGTACGTGTAGGGGGGCTAAATATGGATGTACTAAAGCCAAGTCACATACTCGTCATCTAAGTGGCCCCCACAAATCATTACTCCAAAGTAGGAAAGACAAAATCACAATAAATTCAAAGGTTGGGGCGAGGAGCATAGCGACCCTACCACGAATTGTCGATCGACGGGCTCAGAACCTCGATACGACCCAACCAGGAATCGTCGATCGAAGGACCCAGAACCTAGATCTGATCATGAATCGTCAATCGACTGGCTCAGAACCTCGATACGACCTAGCCATGAATCATCGATCTAAGGACCTAGAACTGAGATCCGATCAGGAATCGTCGATCGACCGGCCTAAAACCTCGATCCGACCCAACCACGAATCGTCGATCAAAGGGCCTAGAACCCCGATTCGACCCGACCATGAATCGTCGATCGACGGGCCCAGAACCCCGATCCGATCAACCATAAATCGCCGATCGACGGGCCTAGAACCTCGATCCGACCCGACCAAGAATCGTCGATCGACGGGCCTAGAACCTCGATCCGACCTGACCACGAAAACATTGATCGACGAGTTTAGAACCTCGATTCGATCCAACCACATAGATTGATGGGTCAATCGACGACCCTAGGACCTCGAGCCGATCTGATCACGAATCATCGATCGATGGGCCTAAAATTGTCTAAACATAACCAGAACGAAGTGTAAATGGTAGGATTTCGTTATCAAGGGGAATACAGAAGGGACTTTGGAATGGAGGATAGAAAGCTAATCAAGTCTTGCAAAGCAAGACCCAAGTTGAGGATCAAAGTGAGAAATAGCCGGAGTATGTATCGCTACCATTAGGCCTGATCCTACCTGGGTCATTTAAGGGGAATGTTACACTTATTAAGTGGGTCCTGAAGAATAGGAGTTAGGGCAGCGTGATCTTAATGATTACGAGAGCCCTACCCTATTTAGGAGGAGGCCCAATAAGTGCTAATAAATCCCCCTTCAGTAACCTTAGGCTATAAAAGGAAGGAACGGGAAAAGGTTAAAGGACGAACTACACAGACTATCGACTCCGGGCATTATTTCTCCTACTATTACTCCAATCCCAACTTCTAGGACTAACTTTCTCTCCCTTCTATAGCTCTCCTGCTTTCCTCCCATTGTCTTGAGTGATATACCCCAGAATTTGACTTTTCAACGGTGTCCCATACCTACAATCTTTAATTCAATTTTCTAAAGTGTTGTTCATATTTTTTTCATAGATATCATTTTATCAGATACGAACAACTCTTCAATTCTATAGCCGATCTCGATTTTGATTTTGAAACTTAAAAATACAATTAGATCGGACTTATTTTGACATCGAAATTAGTCAATTACAAAATATAAATTATAGCTATTTTCATATAGTTAGAATAATTTTTTTCTTTTAATCGTCTTCGCTATGTAAGCTTTTGTAGAGAAGACTTTTGGTTATAATTTTCCAAGCTAATCAGTTTCGGTATGTATATTTTATATACATATATATTGTGGTCTGTTCAATTCTTACAATTGGGCCTTCAATGTCCACGCGTCATATGCAATAAAAGACAAATATTTAACAGGGAAAAAGGGGAGTGTCTAATGGGTATGAGAGAATAAATTGGGGACAAATATTTCAAGTGTAGGGAGTGGGGACGTGGATTTTTTAATTTTAAAATTTTGATATATACAGAGTGTAAAGAATGAAAAACTTGGGAGGGGAAGCCTTGGTCCTGAGGTGCCTCCTTGGTTGATCTTGGCCGAGTATCCTTGTGACAGAGCCATGCGTGTCTCTAGGTTATACAAGTCCATAGATGAGAAGGTAAAGTTTTTTCTTTGCTTGCTCGCTCTCTCATTGTGTTTTTGCGTTGGCCTTACTTGAAAGAATCCCCTTTTAACTCAAAAGAGATCTTAAATCATAGCAATTTCCATATAGTTAGAGTAATTTCTTTTCGTTTAATCGTCTTCGCTATGTAAGCTTTTGTAGAAAAGACTAACTTTCTTCTTCCTTAGATTTCAGCCTTAGTTTGTCACGCAGTATTAGCATCTAGGGTTTTGCATTTTGGAACTATGTGGCTAAACATAAAGTTCAAGGAAAGTAATAGGCCATGCTGTTAAACTGGTTGATTTTTTTTTTTTTTTTTTTAAGAAAATAAACTAAATTTTCTCCGATTCCAATTCCTAAATGGCAATTTGGCGCTCCCAAACTTAGCTTTAATTCTTTTACACATTTCTATCTGAATGAAAATAAACTATATTGCAAGTATCATGTAACAAAGTCAAACACTAGAAGGAATAATAAGAACCTGAACTTAGAGCTAGAATGAATATAATAAGAAACATGTGTAAATTCTCCAATCTAGAATGAGGAGTAATAAGAAGCTAAATGTTGAAACAAGGTAACAAAATTCACTTTCCATAAGTTGCTTTTCTATCTGAATCATTCAAATCCTACATTACTATGTTTCTATGTAAATTATATACATATGTGTGTGTTTCTATGTAAATTATATACATATGTAAGCGATTTGAGAATCCTAGAGGGATTCATGTGATTGACGAAGCCCCTCCTCCGAGTGCAGATGATTAAAATACACTTTGTGAGAGATTCCCTAGAAAGGTATCTTCCACCCACCATCTCCAGTTCGGAACATTTTCGAGGTTAGGAGTCAGCAGCAGTGGCAGTTGAAACCGATGAAGATGACGACATAACCAAAAACACTGCAAAGTTCAATCACAAAAATTCAAATAACCAAAGGCATAAGCCTAATTTCCCCAATCTATTTCTCAAACAAAATTAGATAAAATAACAGTGTCTGAACCGAAAGACTAGAAGCAGTGGTGGTCATGTCTAATAAAACGAACATATTACTACCAAAAAGTTCACACTTCTTTGAAAATCTTATACTAATCTACGCAAATTCACGAAACTGTAGTGGTCATAGTTAATAAGATGAGCTTATTTCATCTACTCTTTATCCGTCCGGTTTTTCAAAGATAAAATTACAATGGCTATATTAGTTCTTGTCATTGAAAAATGCTTACAGCTCTCTCCGGGCACATCATTCAGTTTACAAATTGAGAATTAAAAACATAATTTTTTTGTTACTGATATCCATCTTTGATAGGGGATAAAAAAGGGTACAACAAGTCCACAATAGATTTGATAGTCCAATAACATTGTAACAGAAATTGGGAAAATTGAAGTATATTTCATGACTTTCTAATACAAAGTAGCCCGACCTTTATAGGCTGAATACAATCAGATCAGAATCCAGTAAATTAGGGAATATACAACCAAATCCCTAAGATCAGGAAATAAAATAAGCCAACCTAAAATTTAATACACCAGCTATATTAGCTTATAATCAGATAGTTAATACTTTCAAAATTTATCTAACAATTACATAAATCACGTAATTCTCCAACACTCCCCCTCAAGCTGGGGAATAAATATCTTCCATCCCCAGCTTGCAGACAATTCTTTGAAACGCAGGACTGGCTAACCCTTTGGTTAGTACATCAGCTAGTTGTCCTCTTGGTGAGACATACGGAGTGCAAATTAGTCCATTATCGAGCTTTTCCTTTATAAAGTGGCGATCAACTTCCACATGCTTGGTGCGGTCATGTTGCACTGGGTTATGTGCAATATTGATGGTTGACTTGTTATCACAATATAACTTCATCGGCCTCTCAACTGAAACTCCAAGATCCTTTAGGACTATTTTCAACCATAATAATTCACATATTCCTAAAGCCATGGCACGAAATTCAGCTTCTGCACTTGACCTTGCAACTATTGGCTGCTTTTTGCTCCTCCATGTAACAAGATTCCCACCTAGGAAGGCACAATAACCCGAGGTTGATCTTCTATCTGACACTGAACTTGCATAGTTCGAGTCTGTGTAAACTTCTAAGTTCAAGAGCAATCCTCTCTTGAACAATAAGCCTCGACCTGGACTAGATTTTAGATATTGCAGGATTCTGTATACTGCTTGGAGATGTACTTCCTTTGGGTTGTGCATAAATTGGCTCACTACACTAACTGCATAGGCGATGTTAGGCCTGGTGTGAGACAAGTAGATTAATCTTCCAACAAGTCTTTGATACATTCCTTTGTCAACTGGCTCATCATCAACAGCTTCTCTAAGCTTATGATTCGGTTCAATGGGAGTCTCCACGGGCTTACAGCCTATCTTTCCTGTTTCTTTCAGTAAATCAATCACATACTTTTGTTGTGAGACGAAAATTCCCTCTTTAGAGCGAGGAACTTCAATTCCCAGGAAGTATTTCAGCTTGCCTAGGTCTTTTATTTCAAATTTCGTGGCCAGCTTAGCTTTAAGAGTTTCCCTTTCAGCTTGATCATTGCCAGTGACAATAGTATCATCTACGTATATAATGAGGACAGTAACTCCCCCTGAAGAAGAGTGTTTTATGAACAGAGTATGATCACCTTGACTTTGTTTGTAACCCATTGCTGACATTGCTCTTGCAAACCTGCCAAACCAAGCCCTTGGTGATTGCTTCAGTCCGTACAATGCCTTCCTTAGCCTGCATACCCTATTCTTCTTCGGAAAACTGAATCCTGGACGAGCTTCCATATATATTTCTTCTTCAAGATCTCCATGCAGAAATGCATTTTTTACATCAAACTGCTGCAAAGTCCAATCAAAGTTAGCAGCCAGAGACAATAAAATTCTTACTATGTTCATTGTTGCCACTGGGGCAAAAGTTTCTTGATAATCAACACCAAAGGTCTGGGTATATCCTTTTGCTACTAGCCTCGCCTTGTACCTCTCAAGAGATCCATCTGCATTAAATTTTACTGAAAACACCCATTTGCATCCCACAGTTTCTTTTCCCTTTGGTAATTCAACCATCTCTCAAGTCTTGTTCTTCTCCAGTGCGTCCATCTCAACTTTCATGGCCTGCTTCCATTCCTTGCTGTTTAATGCCTCAGACAATGTTTTAGGAACGACTATTGAGTTTAGATGAGTAAGGAAGGCTCTATGTGAGGGAGATAATTTTTCAAAGGAGATAAAATGAGAGAGTGGATGTTGTGTACACCTTCGGGTACCTTTTCGAACTGCAATGGGTAGTTCTAAATCAGTCTCATCAAACACAAGAGTGGAATTGTTTACCTGAGCAGTGTTTTTCTCCTGAGCGGTTTCTTTCCCAAGCATAGGTTCTGACTTTTGGGCTTGCTTCGGATTAGTCTTGCCTCCCTTCCTTCTCGAAAAAACTTAAAGTGATTTAGTGCCTATTGGATTGATTAGTGGAGTTGGATTTTTAGGAGGAGATTGTGGTTGAGATTCAGGAGGTGTCACACCTGGATTTTGAAGTGGAGGAATATCAAAACTGGAATCAGAATTAGGTAGTGAAACCTGGGAATGAATGTGATCTGGACTTGGAGAAGCCGCGGTAGGAGGGGAACCAAAGGAAACCGAGGCAGGAGCGGTTGCAGAACTTGGACTCAAAGATGGTGGTGACAATTTGGGCATAAGATTGAAATCGAGGATATCTGCATCATCATCCTTTTCATCACTTGTTACCTTCCCCTGAGGAGAAGGATGATGAAAGAAACTCTCATGTTTAACAAATGTGACATCAATTGAAATGTAGGTTTTCCGAGTAGGCGGATGGTAACATTTGTAACCTTTTGGAGTTGAAGAGTAACTTATAAAAATACATTTAAGTGCTCGGGGATCAAGTTTGCTTCGATTGTGAGCATGAACATTAGTAAAGACAACACACCCAAATACCCGAGGAGACAACCTATTTGGAGTAAGGAAGTCTGGAAAATGATGTGAAAGTGTTTCCCAAGGACTTCTAAAATCTAAGACTTTGGTAGGTAATTGGTTGATGAGATGAGTGGCTGTGAGAACGGCTTCCCCCCAAAAATATTTTGGAACTTGTCTTTGAAAAGGAAGAGCATGGGTAGTTTAGAGAAGATGTCCATTCTTTCTTTCGGCCACCCCATTTTATTGGGGTGTGTCAATGCATGAGGACTCATGAACTATTCCCTCTTGGTTCAAATATAGTGATAGAATTTGGTTAAAATATTCTCTCCCGTTGTCTGTCCTCACCCTTTTAATTTTCACCCCAAACTATGTTTTTATCATGTTATGAAATATTGGAAAGATATTGACTACATCAGATTTTTGCTTCATGAGAAAAGTCCAAGTTACCCGCGTACAATCATCTATAAAAATGACAAACCAACGTGCCCCAGAATAATTAGCAACCCGTGAAGGACCCCAAACATCACTGCGCATCAAATAAAAAAGAACTGATGATTTATTATTGCTCAAAGGAAAGGAAACACGTTTGTGTTTGGCAATTTCACAAATATCACAATGAAGTTGTTTCAAATCAACATTTTTAAACAAAGAAGGAAACATAAGACTGAGAGTTCTAAAGGAAGGATGACCAAGCTGAAAATGATGAAGGAGAATTTTGTCTTTATTTGTGGAGGAATCAGATAGAAGCATAGATGAACAACCAACTCCAATACTCACTTTTTCACTCATCGGCTCGAGACAGTAAAGACCATCCTTTTCTTTAGCAAGCCCAATCGTCTTCCCTGAAGCTCGGTCCTGAAACACACATGAATTTTTTGAGAAAATAAGATTGCAGTTCATATCCTTGGTGATTTGTTTGACAAATAAAAGATTGGTTGTCAATTTGGGCACATGTAAAACATTTTTAAGACACAGGGAAGGTCCTAAGGATATGTCCCCCTGTCCTGCAACAGTGACTAAATTCCCATCAGCTATGGTGATCTTTTTATTACTAGGGCATGGTTTATAAGAAGAAAAACATTGGGATGAGTTGGTCATATTGTCGGTTGCCCCTGAGTCGACAATCCAAGAGTGTGGGTGGATTAAAACATTATCTGAGACTCTAAGAGCATGAGAACCAAAATACATACCAGAAAGTGCTAATGGACAGGTACCTGTAGGTTTTTCGAGTGAATCAAGAAGGATCGGTGGCGATCAATGTCTTCCTTACAGAATTCTCTGCTATTGGAATTCGGTTGATTACTGGTATTATTAGTGCTATTTTGTGCAACGTGGGCTTGTCCCTTTTGCTGCCAGCTTCTTCCTCCGGAATTCCGGTTTAACTGATTCATGTTTTGTGGCCTTCCATGTAGCTTATAGCAGGTGTCCTTCGTATGACAAGTTTTCTTGCAATAGTTACATACCAGATTCTCTTTGAATGTCCTCTTTGGGGCAGATTTCTTATAATCAGTAGTAGTTGAAGACTTCTTCTCCAAAGTTTGCTCACTAGCAGCGGTTGTAAGCAGTGCCGATCCTTCCAATGGCTGCGAATCCAACATAACTCCTCTCCTACTCTCTTCAGCACGAATCGTTGCAATTGCTTCATTTAGAGAGGATAATCCTTTCCCCAAAGTCTGAACTCTTACAGTATCGAATTCCGAATTAAAGCCTGCTAAGAAATCATAGATTCGGTCTTTTTCTATGAAAGCCTTCAACAACACAGCATCCTCGCTGTTCTTCATCTCGAGAACCTGGTAATAGTCCAACTCGTACCACAAATTTTTCAGAGTGTTGGCATACTCTGTTACAGTCTTGTTCCTTTGTTTTGTAGCAGCTAGCTTCACCTTGATCTCGTACACCTGGGCTGCATCATTTTTCTTCGAATAAGTTTGTCTGATCGCCTCCCATATCTCTTGAGCGGTTGTCAAAAACATGACAGTATCACTTATCTCGGGTACCATAGCATTCCATAGCCATGACATGACCATTGAGTCTTTTTCGTCCCAAGCAGCAAACTTTGGATCTTCCTTCTTAGGCCCTTTTCCAAGAAGATGGTTGAGCTTGCCCTTCCCTTTCAGAAAAGTTTGAACAAGTTGAGATCACTTTAAATAGTTCGTTCCATTTAGCCTATACGCTGTTTGAATGTTCTGTAGATCTCCAGGAACCTGTTGTTGGATTGTAGGCTCCTCCGATTGAGAGATGGTTTGTGTAACCTCTGACATCTCGTTTTTTTTCTTTTGTAAAAACTGAACTCCAAGCTGCTATGAAATCTGTAAGTGATGAAATATTTTATCCCAGAAAGAGCACCTAAGGCTCTGATACCATAACATAGAAATTGGGAAAATTGAAGTATATTTCATGACTTTCTAATACAAAGTAGCCCGACCTTTATAGGCTGAATACAATCAGATCAGAATCCAGTAAATTAAGGAATATACAACCAAATCCCTAAGATTAGGAAATAAAATAAGTCAACCTAAAATTTAATACACCAGCTATATTAGCCTATAATCAGACAGTTAATACTTTCCAAATTTATCTAACAATTACATAAATCACGTAATTCTCCAACATATTGTATTTTATATGTTGTTAAATTGGAGAATTTGGAGTGCCATCTACATCTTGGAGAATTTAAAAAAAATAATAATAATAATAATCTGACAGAGTGTCTTGTTAAAAAGTACTGTAACAAACATTCAACTGAAAGGAAGTGAAGCCTACAAATAATAACTCTGGTGGAGTCAAATGTCATACAAATATCACTAACTATATTAGGAAGGCCTCTGATACATCTGAGGAATCACCGAGAATAGTGATAAAGTATGCAAAAGGCTTATTTGTAAAATATCTCCAACAAAACATGAAGAGTTATTCTCTAACTGAGTACACCATTCTGAAACTTAGCTAGATCAGTGGCTTCATTGAATTCCTCGTTACACTCTCATGAAACGAGATTTTGATCTTCTTGAGCCTGGCTAAGACTTAATTCATGTGAACCCTCTCCTCAGGTGAGTCTGCGGTGCATTCTAGAGCTAATCCTAAGAGGGATGACAGGCAATTATTTGTAGCAGCAAAATATTCTTCCTCTCCTCTTAGTAAATTAGCATCTGCAACCTCCAGTATTTCATTAGGGAAAGCCTCACAAACCCAATGCTTCAAACTCAGTTCCCCTTGAAATAGATCCTCTGTGGGCTTCTTCCTTGTAAATGTTTCCATCAACAAAATTCCATAACTGTAACCATCTACCATAGGAGATACTATCCCGGCCGAACCATACTCTGAAACATTAGTATTATAAGTAAATTTTAATAAAAAAGAAACAGTATTAGGTAGAATACTGGAATAAACTTCCCAAAAAACATAGGAAGTGCTCAAACAAAACAGTGGGTCTTGAGATTTAGAAGCATACTATATGTTAAAGTCCACTTACTGACCTTTATGCTTCTTCCCATTCCTTTTCCCACTAAAAAATATTAATAGCATAGCGAAAACCAATAATTTACCATAGATGGAGAAAAAATGAGAAAATGTACGCAAGTCCCATGTCAGTTAATTTACTATATGCGAAAACCAAATCAAAAAGAAAAGGAAGAACAAAAATTTATGTTGCATATTATTTCTTTACTTCTCTATTTAACATGACATTGATATGGAGTAAAAATGTCCCAATGGTGTAGAAGGAACATACCTGGTGCCATATACCCAATGGTGCCTATTGTCTTTGTTTGTGCCATTGACTTGTTCTCCATCAAGAGCTTTGCTATGCCAAAATCACTTACGTGTGCAACCATGTCTTCATCTAACAGAATGTTGCTTGGCTTCAAGTCACAATGCACCACTGGGGTTGAACAACTGTGATGGAGATACTCTACTGCAGATGCAACATCTATCATGATGCACAACCTTTGGACAATATCCAAGCAATAGTTGTGAGAGTACAACCACCTGTCAAGGTTCCCATTAGGCATATATTGTAGCACTAAGGCTTTGAAATCAAGTTTGGAGCAACTGCTGATTATTTTGACAAGATTTCGGTGGCGAATGTTGTGCAGTGCTTCACACTCTGCATTGAAACTCTTGAATGCACCTTGTTGCTCTAAATTGAAAACCTTGACAGAAGCAACCATCCCATCAGTGAATATCCCTTTGTATACCGAACCAAGGCCTCCCTTTCCAATCAAATTTTCTTCACACAAGTAGTTTGTTGAACAAAGAATCTCTTGGTGTGATATCCTTCTATGTGTTACACCTGGTGGTGCATCACATTGGATTGGAAGTTGCCTGCTTTTGTTTTTGCATCTTAGCAATCCAACTAGAAAAGCCACTACAATTACCAATGAGGCAATTGGTGGTACAACATATTTCAGAAGAATTTCTGTCTTCCGTGATTTTTTGGGGCTTTTACATTTTCTGACATGGAACTGAGGTGCTCCACATAGTGCATCATTCTGCATGAAAGATTCATACGTGAAATTTGCAAAAGATCCTCCACTTGGAATTTCTCCGCTTAGTCTATTGAATGAAACATTTATGTACTTAAGATACAAAAGTTTCTCCAATGACTTGGGGATTGCACCAGAAAAATTGTTCCGCGATAGATCTAAGGATTCCAAACTTATCAAATCAGAAAATGATTGGGGTATAGGACCCTGTAGTCTGTTTTCTGACAAGGAGAAGTTGGCCAGGCTCTGAAGTTGCCCAATTGTGTTTGGAATTTTACCTGTGAACTGATTCTTTGATGGATCCAACAGCGTAACATGTTTCAAATTGCCAATTTCTGGAGGTAGAGAACCACTTAGAATATTAGAAGACAAGTTCAGAACAATGATATCCTTAAGGTTCCACATAGTCAATGGAATTTCGGAAGTTAAGGCATTGGTATCTAAAAAGAGTTTTCTCAATGAAGTAAGGTTCTCAAAGCAGCTTGGAATTGATCCAGAAAATTTATTTCCATACAACTCTAACTCACTCAAGCTTTTTAAAGCACATAGTCTGCTTGTAATCGTTCCTTGCAATTTAGTACCAGCAATTTCCAAAAACTGGAGTTTCAGAAGCTGTCCAAATTTTTCTGGGATTGACCCTGTCAGGTCATTATCTCCTAAAGCCAATCTAATCAAGTTGCTCAAATTTCCAATTTCTGTAGGAATTACTCCTTTTATTTGGCAGGCGGTTGCAACAATTTCTTCAAGAGAGTTGGAGAAATTTCCTATCGATTTTGGAAGAATACCATTTAGAGGATTATATTGTATGGCCAATGATTTCAAATGCCTGCAATTGGTTAATGAAGTGATAAAACTTAGCTCAATTGCTGATGGATCGTTCGTCAACTGATTAATTTCTAAATTGAGAATTGGAGGTGGCCTAAATTCCCGAGAGTCGTGGGAACGCTACCAATGAACAAGTTATTGGATAGATCGATATCAACTAGTTGGGTGGCATTTGAGATTGAGTTGGGAATTATTCCACTGACTTGGTTGTCAGCAAGATAAAGAGTACCAAGATTTGGAAGCCAAAAGAAAGTGCTTGATGGAAGAGTTCCTGAAAGGTGATTATTTGTGAGGGAAATGTATTCTAATGTACTTAGGTTGAAGAGTGACAATGGTATTTCACCCATAAGGTTGTTAGAAAACAGGCTTAAACTTATCAAATTTGAGAGATGCCCTAATTGCCAAGGAATCATACCATGAAAATTGTTTTCACTCAAATCAATATCCTCTAACATGGACATATTACCAATTGAAAGTGGAATTTCACCTATCAAGTTATTTCTACCAAGATATAAAAGTTGAAGTGCAGACAACCTTACAATGTCAATTGGCATGCTTCCTGTGAAATTATTGATCGATAGATCAAGTTCCTTAAGTGCCTTGCAATGGGACAGTCCAGAAGAGATATTGCCAGTGAGTCGGTTCGAAGAAAGATAAATGACTTCAAGCCTTGGATTTCGGCGACATAGACCCTTGGGCAGAACACCAGAGACTATATTGTAGGAGAGATCAAATTCCACAAGTGAAGAGATGTTGAAGATTGTATCAGGTAATTCACCTGCAAGAAAAGTGAAGAAAAGAAGCTTAGAGATTGCAAAATTGAAAGATATGCTGCAAATAGTTGGGGAATTTTTTATTTTGTTATATCCCAAGGCTGGTAGCATCTTTAAAATTGACAAATTACTAACTGAAGGTGAAATTGTATCAGTCAAGCTACCACCAAGATATAATATCTGAAGCTTAGATAAGTTGCTGATTCCCCGAGGCATTGTCCTGTAAATTCATTCAATGACAGTGCTATATCTTGAAGTTCAGTACATTTGGGTAAGCTAGTAGGAAGCTTGCCACCTAGCTGATTCTGTGAAATATCTAGCTCTTCAAGCTTTGAGAGATTGTTGCACATGTCTACTGGGAGAGTACCGGACAGCGTATTGTTGGTGAGGCCAATCCTTTGCAAAGAAGAAATGTTGAAAATGGTGGAAGGAATGAACCCTGAAATGCTATTGTTCCTGATGTATAGTACCTTCAGCTTGCGAAGATGGCCTATGTCTGGGGGGATAGATCCTGTGAAATTGTTGTAAGAGTGATGCAGGACCTGAAGCTTAGATAAGTTGCCGATTCCCTGAGGCATTTGTCCCGTAAATTCATTGAATGATAGTGATATATCTCGAAGTTCCGTACATTTGGATAAGCTAGCAGGGAGCTTGCCACCTAGCTGATTCTGTGAAAGAACTGTGAATTCAAGCCTTGGATTTCGGTGACATAGACCCTTGGGCAGACCACCAGAGAGTTTATTGTAGGAGAGATCTAAATCCACAAGTGAAGAGATGTTGAAGATTGTATCAGGTAATTTACCTGCAACAAAAGCGAAGACAAGAAGCTTAGAGATTGTAAAATTGAAAGATATGATTTTAAATAGTTAGGAGTTATCATCAGAACTGAATGTGAAATTGTACCAGTCAGGCTGTTACCACCAAGATATAATAACTGAAGCTTAGACAAGTTCCTGATTCCCTGAGGTATTTGTCCTGTAAATTCATTTAATGATAGTGATATTTCTTGAAGTTCAGTACACTTGGGTAGGGTAGTGGGAAGCTTGCCACCTAGCCGATTCTGTGAAAGATACAGCCCTTGAAGCTTTGAGAGATTGTTGCACATGTCCATTGGGAGACTTGGAGACAGGTTATTATTAGAGAGTTCAATCCTTTGCAAAGAAGAAATGTTGAAGATGGTGGAAGGAATGAACCCTGAAATGTTGTTGTTACTAATGGCTAATATCTTCAGCTTGGGAAGATAGCCAATGTCTCGGGGGATAGATCCTGTGAAATAGTTGTCAGAGAGAAGCAAGAATTCAAGTTTGGTTAGAATTCTGAAACTAGTTGGAATTTTACCACTAAACTCATTGAAGCCAAAAATGATTGATTTTAGTCTACGCAAACGACCTAGTTCACCAGGGAGATGGCCATGAAAGCTGTTCTCACTGATATCAAAGAAACTGAGGAATGAGAGGTTGCCAACATCTTTGGGGATGGTACCTCTAAGACCCATATTTGAAAGATTCAAGGCTGTCACTCTTTGGCGCCTATGGCTGCAAGAAACACCAACCCAATTGCAAAAGGAGGTACCTTTTGATCATTTTGTTACCAAATTATTAGTAGGATCAAAGGTAATATGAGCTTTGAAGGCTAGAAGTGCATACTCATCTGTGAAGCTGGTTGAAGTCACAGCCAGGCAAACCACAAATGAATATATCAGAAACAATAACAATATTACACCCATGACTGTAAAATTTGTAAATATTGTTTGGTGTTGAGATATAATTTAGAGCTGAACTGAATTGAAATTTTAGTTCTTGTCTAATTGTAAATTTATAGCAGTTCCACATAACTATAGTGTCCTAGTAGTCCTTTTGGTTCAGTTTGTGGAATTTATTTGATCACCACTTAAATTTTTTGACAGCAGTGCGTGAAAGTGATAGTCAATGTCATTGATGTAAGAGGGGAGTCTTTAACGTAATTTATACTTCAACATCCATAGCGATGAATTGGGACTGATTCTGTCAAATTGTATATCAATGATTTGAAATTCCACAAAATTACAGTACTATTCTTTGTTCAATTGTGGAATTGATCCCAAATTCTTTATAGAATTCCAAAACCCATTATTTGGTCTCCTCAAAAGAAATGTGACCACAAAATTTGTGTTTGTGTGAAAATGATTGTCAATGCCAACGAAGTGGAATTCCTTCGTGTTGGAAAGGTTGTAAATAATGTTTTTTATTTTTTATTTTTATGTCAAAGCAAACACACCCATATTCTGTCCCCACTGGGTCTGGGACTCGAACTCTAAACTAGGACTAGGAAGAGCTTATACCTTCTAGGCTATAACGAGGAAAGTAGTATTTGACAGCAAATTGCAAGTAATATACTTCAATATAGCTTTTGCCAAAGTCCGGACATTGACCCATCAAAACACTACCTGGAAAAGTTTTCCCCTAGTTAGAAAATTTTTCTATTCCATAAGATCTATTGTAACGTGTGAAAATGATATTTGATCTACCAATAAAGTGGAAAGACTTCATTTTGGAGAGGTTCGAAATGCCTCTAGTTGATGTACGTGTGGACTCAAGAAAGTCATTGAGGCAATCTTTGGACTTTGGCAAAAATTTCATTCCCAAATCTAAAATATCGATCGGGTACTTTTGGACTTTGGTAAGATATTTGATAGAAATACCATAACTACCAATTGAGAAGTATTTTTTTACATATTTTATCTCAGACGGGATTATCGTGCATTGGTCAGGATCTTTGGTCATCGATAAAGTCATCTTACTTTGCATTGATTTGCATCTCCACACACACACAAAAATAATAATCAATGCGCCAGTGGCTCAGAGGTACCAAGTTCCTACTTTTTAAACGGAGGTCAAGAGTCAAGCCTCACTGAAAGCGCGTGTAAGTATCAACTAAGAAAAAGAAGAAAATATTTTTGGGATGATAAGTTTTATTTCAAAAACTTGTAGGAGTTCAAACAATTAATTTGCAAATCGACAACTATAAAACCTAAACAGGGGAATTAACTATAGTTCTTCTATCAGAATATCCCGATTGGATCAGAATATCAGTTCATTTTTGTAAATTACAGTAAACTCTAAAAGTTTAATATATTAGAGAAAGTTGCTTCAGTATTTAAATCCTTGGACAAATTGTTGATCAATAAGTTCCATGTAAGGAACCACCAGGTGGGCCCAGCCCATGCCAAGAGAAGAGGACCAACCGCTGCTGGCCCAGTTTATCGAAAAGGAATGGGCCCATCGACCCAAGAGAGTCCCACTCCAAGCGGAAGCCTTTTCCTAGTAGAAAGGGTCCAAAAAGAATCCCAAATAAAAGGTTTTTGTGAGCGTTGGATGTGAAAGTGCTATTTGACTAACAATATTACACCCATGACTGTAAAAGTAGTAAATATTGTTTGGTGTTGAGATAAAATTTGGAGTTAGAACTGAATTGGAATTTTAGTTGTGTAATTGTAAATTTATAGCAGTTCCACATAACTAGAGTCTCCTAGTAGTCTTTTTGGTTCAGTTTGTGGAATTTATTTGATCACCACTTAAATTATTTATCTGTTGCTCTGTGATTTCCTCACTGACAGAAGTGTGTGAAAGTGATAGTCAATACTGGAATGGTTTAGAAATGCTTCCTAATTGATGCAAGAGGGGAGTTTTAACGTAATTTATACTTCAACATCCATAGCAATGAATTGGGACTGATTCTGTCAAATTGTAAATCAATTGATTTGAAATTCCTTGTTCAATTGTGGAATTCATCCCAAATTCTTTATAGAATTCGAAAACCATAATTTGGTCTCCTCAAAGGAAATGTGATCACAAAATCTGTGTGTGTGTGTGTGAAAGTGGATTGCCCATGCCAACAAAGTGGAATCCCTTCGTGTTGAAATGGTTGTAAATGCCTTTAGTTGATGTTTTTTTATTGTTTTTTGAATGTCAAAGCAAACACACATCCATATTTTGCTCCCACCAGGACTCGAACACTAGACTAGGGAGAGCTTATACCTTCTAGGCTAGAGCAGGAAAGGAGCCTTTGACGCAACTTGCAAGTAATACTTCAATATAGCTATAATGTCTGTGTCTAATATATGTATATGTGTGTGCATATGTGTATATATTTGTGTGTGTGTGTGGTGTAGTTTAAAATGAAAAAAAAAAGGAAAATAAAAAGGAAAGTGGGTGGGACCCACAAGCTATTTAGATTAGTGGCATTGGGCTAATTTCATTTCTGCATTCTCTCACGTTCGGCTCTCTCTCTCGCTCACTAGTTTTTTTTTTTTTTTTTTTTCTTTTTCACATCAAATTCAAGGCTTGATTTCTCCATCATTTCTTGGTAGATTTGAGAGCCGTTTGAGGCAAAACGAAGCCCACGACGAGCTCTACGCGCTAGTGTAAGCAATTTCAGATTTGGTGCTTCCTAGGGAGTTCGAAATTAGAGACCCACTTTCAAGGGTTTTGTTCAATTTAGAGGTAGGGGCTCTTAATCCACAATTTTCTTACTCCTATGTGAATTACATCTTCTAAATTGTTGCAGGACATGCTTATTTGTGCTAGTTGTAGTTTAGAAGTAGTTAGAATATGTGTATGTGGTTATGTGAGAGCTTGTATTAAATGTTTTATGTGGAAAACTTGCCTATGTGATGATTTATATATGTTCGTTAGGCTAGATGTATTGTTGTATAAGAGCATGTTGGAATTCCTTGAGAAATTCTTGTGAAATTATGTCTTACTTACTTAAATTGAGTTAGTTGTGGAATGATGAGTATATTCATGGTACTGATGCACTCATGCACTTACATTGGGCATGAAATGGGAGAAATTGTTTTGGAACAAAAAGGGGAAATTTTGAAAAAGTGATTTGATGAAATGGTTTTATGAAAACCCGGTCACTGCGGGGGTACCAAAGGGCCTGAGTGTTAATATAGTCTAGAGGGGACTAGGGAGTTGCCCTAGCGTGGTTGAGCTATCTGGACCCCTCGATGATGCTGCGGGGTTACCAAAGGTCTAAGGACAGTAGCCAATCCTCCTCTCGTGCCGCTACGGGGTCACCAAAGGGCGAGTTGTATTAATAGTTTGAAAGTGATGGTTTGAAATGTGAAAATGGGGAGCGACATCGGCATGCATTTGCATTCCATGGCATTGTATTGTTTGCACTCGAGTTTGGTTGAAATGTTGTATTATCCCGACATTGTATGATCCCTATTCCTATTGATCTATTCTTTGTATGGATTCACAAGAATACAAGATGCATGTCTTAAGTGCTACCTACTGAGCTTTATGCTCACCCTATTACTTAATAATTTTTTTCAGGAAACGGGAAAGAAGTGGCGGATGACTTTCCACCACAGGCCTAATTTGGATTAGAAGACTTTTTTTGCTATTTTTGTATTAAGTCCCATATTTTTTTTTGTAAAAGCTTAGTCTGTTATATTCGGTATAGAGGTTTGTGGACTCTTGTTATTATAATTATACCTATGGGCTGTAACTTTTGTATGAGCTGTCTAAATGTTGTAAAATATGGACATTTGATATTAATCTTGTATTTTGGGACTGTAACTATGTTATCTGGATGATATAGTATGTGGTTGTACCACTATGGAATGAACTAAGTTAAGGCATGATGAATGGATGAAAGGGATGTTGGAATGTATTATATGTTTATTGTGCTGGGATAGGGTTAAAATGCATTTAAACAGGTTATGGTAGGCCCATTTTTTTAGGGGAGGTCATGCCGAATTTTTTTTTTTTTTATGGTAACAGTTTAGGGTCGTTACAATAGCTTTTGCCAAAGTCTGAAAATTGACGCATCATACACCCCTGGAAATGTTCTCCCCTAGTGAATTTTTTTTCTATTCCATAAGATTTATTGTAACTTGGTCTTGTAAACCATCAATGAGCATGGTACAATTAAAGGAGGAGGTTGTACATGTTAAAGTCTTTCTCCATTTTCTTGGCAACCAAACGATATGGAATTCAAAGCTTGTGTTTGTAAACCATCAATGAGCAGAGTACAATTAAAGGAGGAGGTTGTACATGTTAAAGTCTTTCTCCATTTTCTTGGCAACCAAACGATATGGAATTCAAAGCTTGTGTTTGTTTTCCTAGTCTTCTTCAGTGCTGAAACTTTGGACATTGGCAAGATACTTGGAGTATTATTTTTGTTAGAAAGTATATGAACTATATCATACACAAATTGCTTGAAAATAAGTATGAGATACGTGTATGAAACTTCTGGATGAGATACACCTTAAAAAAATACGTTTCTAATAATTTAATTTTTTTATTACTTCAAAATTAGTTAATTGCATATATTGACTATTGTTACATAAAAGTTGTACTTTACTCTATTAAATAAAATAAAAGTATTTAATAATATAAATAGTTAGTAGTGAACATTTGTCTTTTATTTGAGAATTAGACACGGTTGATGTGTGGATACATAATCGAATTCACGTAATATAGGAACTATCAATTGAGAAGTCGGAACTATAATTCCAATTCAATTCTGATTGTATAAGTTGGAGTCTGTATTGAATTGGAATTACAGTTCCCATAAATTATAAACTGTGAATTTCAATTCCAGATACTAGAGCATACTACTAGTCTGTTTTGTTCAGTTGTGGAATTGATTTAAAATCTATGGACTCCTGATGCAACTAAAATTGATCATCACTTAAAACTGTGTGTTTGCTGTGTGATTTCCCCATTGACAAGAGTGTGTGAAGGTGACAGTCAATGTCACTTATTTTGGAAATGATGGTCGTGTAAAAATGATGGTCAATGCCAATAAAGTGG